ATAATATTTTTAATAAATAAATAATTAAACACTAAAATAACTTTCAGTCATAACTATAATACAATAAAATTTAATATAGCTACAATTACAATCACAGCACTTTACAATAATCTTAAACGCATCCTTAATTATTTAACTTTTAATTTTAAATAAATTTTATCTTTTAAAAATTAGAAACAAGTAATTAGTAATTTTCATTTTGTGATATCAAATTAACTAATTCAAGTAAGGGCAAGTGGACCATTAGAAGGAGATAACTGAGATTAATTTGCCTGTGGGTGCATTGATCTTCGAGATTTTGATTGTTGCATCTCTTCTTTCTTTGCCCCACTCCTGACAAAATCGAGAACTTAATACAATTAATTAATAAATCTGAGTGAAAAATAAAAAACACACAGTGAAAGAATTTAATTACCATAATGTATAAACATGCATTCCAGTCATTTTTATCAGAGACGGTGCACTTCATAAGATCTCCTCTGGCACGACCGACGTATGGGTTACCTTTCGAATAAGCATAGGGCACTCTGTCTTTCCATTTAATCCTCTTACTACCTTCTTCTTCGTCCTTCAACAAATTCGTCCATGGCCTAATGTTCACCTCTGCCTTGTGTCAAGGAACGTGTTAGAGATCAATACTAGACAACTAATGCAAACCAAGTGGGGATTGGTGTCAGTTTCCAATGCTGTGCTTTGAGGAGACCTAGCCTTTTCTCTTTATCCTTCTTTTCAAATCATTTTTACGGGCGAGTAACCTTGTACTCAAATTTATAATAAAATTTTAATTCATCTAAAAAAAATGCAAACCAAGTGGGGATTAAACATTAATTTGATATATTAATGTGACGATAGTATTCCGATTGGTGGGCTGCCATTGCCTGAGACTGCTCTGATTCATCCCACCGTTTTCGTATGTCTTAATTAGAATACAGACTCTACAAACAAGACGTTGGTTTGTCAAGGATTAGTAGCCCTTAATTTATGTTTGAATTTACGTTTTGGATAAGAATATCGGGGTGAAAATTGAGCTTGAGTTTTCACATAAGGTTTGTTTTTAATTTAAAATTAATTGATAATGGGTGGTAGAGGCTCTCTATGAGTGGTAGAGGCTCTTTATGGGTGGTGCTATAAGAACAATCTTTTGATATTACTTTTTGATACAATTTTCATATGTCATTAAAAGAGTTGATGCATTCAATATTATAAATTTTATATAAATTAAAAGAACCAATTAATTAAATGACATTTTAAATTTTACCAAAAAGTGATACAAAAAAATTATCCTAAAATCATTTTCCAGCTCCCTATGAATGTTGAGTCCTTTTACATGCAGGTACTATATTAAGACTCAGTATCAAATTATAAAGCCTTAGTATCAATTTCAAGTCTAATCAGGTAGATTAACCAATCAAGTTTACCCATGAAAATAATTTTTTCACATTCTTCAGCAATGCAATCAAGTTTGCCCATTAAGGTAGGGATAAAACTTGATGTAGTTCCAGAGCCGCCTTTTGTGAAGGAAGCATCTCAGCATAGCTCCACTGCAGATAAATCCACTACTGATGTGCCCAAAGAAGGGAAATGTGCATCAAAATCTCAAACAAATGGTGATCAGAATGGTGTTCACGGTAAAAAACACGGTGGCTCTTGCCATCGTCATCAACTTGATGAACCTAGATTCCTGGTTAACATTGGAACGCTAGATAGTGATGAGGAGCAAACACAGCTACCTGAAACAACCGTGTGGATTTGCTGTGATGTTTATGACACTGGGATTGGGATTCCAGGTATGCTTCTATTTTCTCTAAAAGTTATTTGCCTCAATGCCTCAATCAATCTCAAACTTGAAACTTTTCGTGAAGTTGATTGGGATTCCTTGACATAAAATTTATGTTTCATTTGATATGGATTTTCTTATTTTCATTTTTTTTTTTTGTTATAGTTGCTCCTGCGCAATCATTTTATGTTGTGATTTTTTCAAACTTAGAGACCGTTTATATTAAGGTTAAGTTACAGAGAAATAAATTCATAAAATCAGTGTTTGATATCAATCACACGCTTGGGCAGAGTTTAATTTCTTTCTTTTGCATTGATGTGATTTGACTCAGATAAAAATTTTTAGACAATCATCCTAATAATTGCTTGCATTTGTAATAGGTTGAGCTGATGGGTGGTCGTCTCACCGTGTCTAGTCGAGTACATTGTGGTTCTACATTTACCTATATATTACCTTACAAAAATTCACTACCTGGTGATAATTCTGATGACCCGGATGAGCTGTCAGATGTGGCTGATCATGATGCCGCAATTGATGATTCAACTGCTGGCTTTTTTCAATTCCATCCACGCACCTTGGGTTCAGTGTTCTCTTCTAATGGTTCAAGCAGAATACAAAAATTAATGCCACATAATATTGGCCAGTAGGGGGGAATCCGGGGAGGAAAAAGTTCTGGAATTCAGTGCTGGACCGTTTTCAATCTAAGCTTACCTCGTGGAAAAGCCCACTACTGTCCTTTGGAGGTCGGATTACCTTAATTAACTCGGTACTTTCTGTTCTCCCTATTTTCTACTTATCTTTGTTCAAAATTCCTAAATGTGTGCTTATTGAGTTAGTTAAAATTCAAAGGAATTTTTTTTGGGGTGGTGTGAATTTGGAAAAAAAGATTTCATGGGTTAGGTGGGACAGTATATGTGTGGATAAGGAGAGAGGTGGATTAGGAGTGGATGATTTGGAGAGGAGGAATTGTGTTTTGTTGGGTAAATGGTGGTTTAGGTTAGGAGATGGTTTAGAGGGTTTATGGAAGAGGGTGATTTGGGAGAAATATTATGGGGGTCAAAAGGAGGTTGAAGTTACTTCATTTGCATCTTTAAAAATGTCTCGGGTGTGGAAGGACATTGTGAGTGTGGGTAGTGGATCTGAAAGGCTTTTGGAGATGCTAGTAAAGGGCTTTAAATGGAAAGTGGGGGATGGAAGTTGTGTGAATTTTTGGAGTGATAAATGGGTGGGAGAAAAGCCTTTGAAAGATTTATTTCCTAGGTTGTTCGCATTGTCTACAAATAGGGAGGGGTTGTTAAAGGATATGGGTCTTTGGAGTGCTGATGGTTGGGTATGGGATTGTAGGTGGAGACATGGGTGTATAGGGAGGGCTGCTGGTGAGGAAGAACAGCTTAGGGAGTTGATTAATGGTGTAAAGTTGAGGATAGACGGAGTAGATTCGTGGAGATGGATACATAGTGGAGATGGTTCATATTCGGTAAAGGTGGCATATGATTTTTTAACACCGAAAGTAAGTATTTTGGATGGGAAGTGGTCTAAAATTATTTGGAGTAAATATGTTCCTTCTAAATTAAGTGTTTTTGGGTGGAGACTATTTTTGAATAGGTTGGCCACAAAGGAGAATTTATGTAAAAGAGGGATTGTTTTGATAGGGGAGGATGTTGGATGCGGGTTTTGTCATGAGGGGGTGGAGCAATT